CACACCGCCCAGCGCACTCGGGCCGTGCGGGGCTGCGGGGGCGGGCGGAGCCGGCGGCGGAGCAGGCGCGGAGGGAGGGCCCGAGGCCGAGAGAGCGGGCAGCGCTGCCCAGGCCCAGCGCTCGGCGGAGCTGAGGCCGGGTCGGGCCGGGTCGGGTCGGGCCGGGCCGGGCCGGGCCGGGCGCTGCGCGGGTCCCTCCTCCGGTGCCACCGCTGTTTCCTGGCCGGCCTGCGGAGAGCCGAGCGCTGCCGGCGGAGGTAGGCGGGGAGGGGAGGAGGGGATGAAGGGCGCGGCGCTGGCTCTGGCTCTGGCTCTGGCTCTGCCCGTGAGGGCCGCCCTCCCCGGGCAGAGCCGTGGCCCGCGGGGTTCGCGCTGAGCCCCGGGCAGGGAGCGCCGGGGGAGCCGCGCCAGCCCCTGCGGCCCGGCCCGGACCTGGGGCCGGGCATCAGTGCTGCGCTAGTGCCCCTAAAAACCTCCAGGCCCCGCTGAACCCCCTGTGTGCTGCACGGAATCCCCGAGTCATTATGGGGGGAAGGGAGCTCTGAGATCATCCAGCCCCACCCGCCTGCCAGGCAGGGCACCCCGAGCAGGTGACACAGGAGCGCGGTTAGGTGGGCTTGGAAGGAACATCCCAGTCCTCATTTCTGCAAGTCACATTGCGGCTGGAGCAATGCTTCAGCAGTAGTAAACCTGAAATCGACAGGAAAACAAATAAAGAAATAGCTATAGTGTAATTGAATCTCTATTTTAGAGGATTTATAATTACATTTTATGCTCAGCCTATTTTAGTCATAACATTTTAAATAAATTTTAAAACATTCAGAACATGTTGACTAATTTTAATGAGATGACGTTTTATGTTTTTGCAATGAGTCAGGGGAAACATCTTTAATTTTCAGGCTTAGTTCAGATTTTCAAGATATCACCGCTGTGTGTTGTGCTAAATACCTCTACAAGGAAACCACTCTGCTGGGGATAAATAGATTTGAAAAAATTCATGTAAATACCTCTACAACCACTCGCTATTTGTGTTTCTGAGTGTCACTCTTTCCTCTTTCTAAACTGAAAGTGATTATTGGCTTCAGTATCAGCCAGTTCATGAAAGCAACCTGTAACTTTTTTTAATACAGCCTTCCAAATGGAGAAACTGGCTAGGAAACGATGGGGGGAATCACTCAGTTTATAATTAGAAGGACAATGAACAGGTCTATAAAAATTCAAGGGCGGAAGGAGTGACGGCCAGTCTTTCACAGATGCTTTGTAATTTAGCAGACCAGGTAGGCTGGGTATCCTAAGTGCCTAGGCAGGTTAGTTGCCAAATTTCCTTTTATCTCAGTGGAATGAGATCATTCCCATTGAATACTTACTTGCATTTTCAGGCATCTAAGAACCTTGTAAAATCAGCTTCTAGGTCCCTAGAAGTAGTTTGCTCATCTAATGAGTAAATTTGCTACCTCTTGTGTTAAATAAATCAATCAAGTGTTTTGATTATATTATATGCTTTGATAAATAAACAGAAGAAGAGCAATGCTATTAAGGTTTCAGTTCTTGCAAAACAATATCAAAATGCTCTTTTATGCATTTCAATTGATTTCAGGTTGTCAAGCAAATACAAGCGTTTGTTACCATGTCCTCATATAATTGAAACTAAAAGAAATCTGAGTAAATATATAGTCAGTAACAAATTATTACAGTAAGTATCTGTAGATACGGTGAATCCTCATGCTTAGGAAAGAGTACCAAATGCTGAGGTGAGAATGGCAGTAAGCATATTTTAACCGTTATGCCACAAAGCAGGAGTCAACTCGTTCTTAGCAAAGTAAAGAAAATTGCAAATGTAGAGCAGGTTCAAAACTGGTATATTTACTGGATGCTGATGCATGATTTATATCAGACAGACCACCTGCTTTGTGGGTTTCAAGTACCAGACCAGGCTCTGAAGGTAGGATTTTCAAAAAGTAATGATTTAGGAGCCAGGTGCTACTCATGCTTACAGGATGTGTATGAACCAGTGATGAGATCGTCCTCTTTTGCAGATGGAAATATCTTGAGTCCTTGTCTGTCCACCAGCTGTTATTGAAATAATTGATGGACTTCTAGCCTATTTAATTTAATTAATGACATCTTCTTGCACACTGTTGTTTGTGAAGTTGTGTTCTTTAGTCTGTCTCAGTGTCTGAGTACCTTGTTTCAGTGCTGTTCTCTTATTTCTTGTGAAAGGCTGCAGTACATACAGAGCTTGTTGCTGTACAGTTGAGACAGAAGAAGTTGTCACCTCACATTCTTGTTCATCACCACAATGTCCACGATGATAGAGACAGCTGCAGGTAAGAGGACTTAGCTCTGTATCATCCTGGGCTGGTGGGTTTGTGGTGTCTGTGTGGGTGGGTTTTTGTGCTGTGTATGTGCACAGAGATGTTTGCTCAGTTACCTCAGTGAGAAGCTGTAAGGAGTGGTGAGGACAGCTCGATGGTGGGGCAGGCTGGGTGCTGATGAGAATGTTTCCTGTGGGGACATTTGGGAAGAGGCTCATTTTTCTCTAAGTGGGATAGTGAGCACAGGGATAAAAGGGCTTTTGCTTGTCTGAAGTCATCATTTGGTGAAGGGGGAAGTAGGGTGATGAGATAGGAATGTGAATCTGCAAAGAGCTGAAATGAAGTGCACACCACAGAGTTACCTGAGGACCCTCTTCAATTATTTATATTAGCAGGACTTTCAATGAGTTGGGTATGATGTTGTTGTTTTAATTCTTTCTATGGCATTTTTCTTCTTAAGAAAACCTGCTGGTTGTAGGTCCAAAGTTGAGATGTAAAATGATCTTACCATTCCCTTTGGTTAGGGAGAGCAGGATCATTGCTCACTTTGTTCCCCTGTCCATAGGGTGAAAGTAAGGGAGGGAGCATCAACTGAAGTACAGAATCTGACTTTGGATGAGTATCTGGGGAGACTTCAAAGACACAAGGAGATGTACATCTTTGTGGTCTCCCCAAAAGAACTGTCTATTGCAGTTCAAACTGCTGTTGACGTGCAGTAGCACAGAAACATTGCACAACAAAGCTTGGTTTCTCAGCAACTTCATGTTCTAGAACTCTTGGGTTTGGTTTTTTCCTTGAGTTGAAGATTCTCGGTACCCTGTGAAGCCAGTAGGAGCTGTGGGGACTTAGCACCTTTGAAAACTGCGCACAATTTTAGGGATTTTGACATTTCTATCTCTTCATTAGACCAAATCCAGTATTTTACAGTCCTGGTGTTTCCTAATGTCTGGGTGAATTCAGTAGGGATTTGCTAGAATCAAAATGCACATTAAGTTACTTGTCAGTTACATCATCAGAGCTTATAAATGTTTTTGGCTATCATGTGTTTGTACCTCTAATACACAAAGTTACAGCTCCTTCTGTGCTATTCTGGGGTAGGATCCTTGCTCCTTTGTAGCACCACTGGCGTTTTGCAATGTGCCTAATGTCCTCTTCTGCTTGCTTGTGAATCTGATTTGTAGGTTGATGTAAGATGCAACTTTGTGCTCCACATTCTTGCAGTTGGCTTCTTAGAGACATTACCAGTCTGTGAGGTGTTAGAGGTTTGCAGCTGCAGAGCTTTATAAGCCCTTTTGTTTGATTTTCTGAGTGAGCTGGCTGGCTGCTGACAGTTCTTTAGTTGGTTTTTTCGGTGGGGGCTGCTTATCCTAATAGCAGGTTAAATGCTATTGTGGTGTCTCTGTGCTGCAACTTGTTAGTGTAGTGTTAAAATATCCTTTAAAGGCCTGTGGTGTGTGGCTAAATAAATACCTGCTCACTGAAAATTGCCTGATTGATCGTCTTGATTCTTAATTGGAACCTAATTGAATTTTTTTTCAAGGAATTCACAATTCTGTGTGCCAAATGTAGGAATCTGGGATTACTTTACATGTTAGGGCATGATATATGTTTCAGTGGCTCCCACTTGTGCTCTGTACGTACAGTTTAAAAAAAAAACCCTCGTATGTGCTGTGCCTCAGGTACTGTGTTCACTGATGTTCTCTGCAGGACTTAAATTATAGTAAATATGACAAGAGATCGTAGAAATACTTGTAAGAGTTTAGAGAAAATGAGTGCTCCTCATAAAGTCTTTGAGAGTTTTGAGTGTGATGCTCACTTCCAGAATTAAGCAGGAACCACTCTGCTATGCCAAGAGCCTTGTTCAGTCAAGCCAAAAAAGCCCAAATAAATGTTAATTTTGAAAGTGGAAGTTTCCTTTGGGGAAGTTGTGAGGGGAATGAGATAGTCAGTAATTTGGTATGGAGAAACTACTTTCAGTTTCTTGAGTCCCAGAAAGTTTCTGCTTTATCTTGAGGGTGACTAGTAAGTTACAAATTTGCTTGCCACAGATTAATAATTCATACACTGCCAGACAACAGTGTGGTTACTATGTTCATTATGGTCTGGCTATTTTTTAACTTTAGGTCAACTGCACTTTGAAGCTAGTTATTAAAGATGTATTTGCTTACCCAGAGAAACCAGGGGTAGGTGGTTACCTTTGCACTGTGTCACGTTTGCCAGGATGCTAATGCAGGTGATTTTGGGCACACAGCTTTAACCCAGTGCAGGAACCTCATGCTTCAGCTGTGGGCATGGCTGCTCATACAACATCATTTCACATCTGTCACAGTTAGACTGCTGTAGGAAATTGTAGCACTCCCTCAGTTTGAGGGGGCAAAGCTGATTATCTTACTTATCAGTGAGCCCTGTGTTGTCACCTCTTCAACTTGTGTTGTCCCACCCGTGCTGCAGAGCCTTCATACTGGAGGGCTTCGTGTGAGACATTCACTGAATTTAGCCCAGAGAGAAGATGCAAGTTGTTTTCAGCACATTGGGTTAGTCCAAGGACATGCCACGGAGCTGAAACACGAGCACAAATCGGTGTCTGAGAGGAGGGAGTGAATCCTGCAGCACCTCAGACTCCTCAGGGCTGCTATGAATGTCACTGAGTGGAAAGCTGCTCACCTTTTGTTAGAAAACAAAAAACAAACACTTAATTGTCTCACTTTCCATCATTCCCAGGCCTGGCAGTGGGAGCTGTACCAGTTGTATATTTTGGGGGTTTTTCCCTGCTGCTCTAGGACAGACAGAGCAGCCATTTGTTCATTACTTGGAGCTTGAGCCCTATTGAATGAGATAATATGTAACTCTAGAAGCAGAGTGTGTCACTCTGCTGTCCCTAACCAGCACGCACTGCTGTTCTGAGCCACTGCTGTGTCATCAGCCTGCCAAAAACCCAAAAGCAACAGTGGTAAAATGATGAACTTGGATGTTTTCTTTAGACTGGCACAAAGATGAATGAAGTAGTGAGAGAAATCAACTATTTGATGAATTTCCTACTGTGCCTCTTTGCAGCTATGGAGCATATGAGGTCCCTTCCCAAAACTCAGACTTTTGTTCAGTGTCAGCAGTGCTTGCATCCTGCAGTGGCATGGATGATTTGCAGTCAGCCATTTTAGTGGAAAAGAAAGCTTTCTCTTTGGAGTAGTTAATCTTTAATATGAAAAATAGTGTGATACCACTCCACTTTCACTTTGCACTGAGATCTATTCAGGAAAAACTCTAAAACAGGTTGGCTTGGGCTGAGAAAGTATTACACACATACTGAGATAAGAGATATTCTTGGGGCTGAAAAAACCCCAAATTCTCATCTATTCCATAGTGCTGATATTACATGTGCAACAAGAAATCTGCAACTTGTATATATGTGATTATATTTTTAATCTTATTGGATACTTTTTTGTTTGTTTTTAATTATCCCTGGAAGCCCTTTCCTCAGCTGGTGTGCATAGTTATTATGCATTTCCCACTTTTTAGTGGGAACTACTTATGTAATGAGCAGCAGCAGGAAGTGAATGAGGTGAAGTTTCGGTCTCAGAGTGTTGTTCTCAGGGACAGGTCTCTGTCCCTTCCTGAGGACATGAAAGCATTTTGCAAGCTGGGGTCCTGTGTCTCTGCTTCCTCCTACATGAGACTCTTCTGGCATCTCTGCTGAGTCCTGACTGCTTTATCCATCCACCCCTATATGTCAGATGGCCTGACTGCAGAGCACCCCGAGCACTAAATGTACTGAGTCTCCTCCAGCACTTCCTCAGGGATTTCTTGGTTGCTATAGTGAGCCTCCTGCCTTCAGAAATCAGCATGGAAGTGTTTAAACATGTAACAAACCAGGAAGAACTGGTCTGTGTAAATAATTGACTGAATTGTGGTAAAAATTAGGACAATGAGATGATACCTGACAGATTTGTCAATTATAATCTGCTAGCTGTGGTAGAGTGAAGCTCTGTCTTTTTACTGGAGCTGTGTGTGATGCTGAACACATGAGAATTGCTCAGGCCAAAAAACTATGTACTGAAGAAATTGATACTGTAGAATCTCTGAATTTGTCATAAACCCATTTTGCCTGGTCTAACCTGAGATCTCTTTGGCAGTTTCAGTAACCTTCAGCAATTCCTGTAAAGGGGGTGGTTTTCAAAGAACCGAAAGAGAAAATAAATACTTCCTGTGTTTGTCATGGAACGCCAGGGTTTTGTTCTCCAGATTCATTTAGCAGCTGGGTTTAGTCTCGGTTGCAGCGGTCAAGAGAAAACCTAAAGCATCTTTTGCAGGGTTTGGAGTGGCCGAGATGCCGGTGCGTGCTGATGATGTGATGAAGCTGCTCAGCCACGTTGCCCAGGTGAAGGGCATGAAAGCTGCTGTGGCACACTCTGGCCGGGGAGCACTGCTGACAGGTGCATCAGCCTTTGTCGGGGGGATACTGGGAGGCCCACCTGGAATCGCTGTAGGTAAGTGTGCTTTGCTTTAGGAACAAGAGGGTGGCTGAATCCCTGAGTGGAGAAATGAGGAGCTCTGTGTAGCAGGTGTGGGTTGAAGGAAGGGGGCATTCAGAGTTGAGATTTCCTGCTGTGATGGGGAGTGAGGGTGAATAAGCCTTAACGTGGGGGCAGGATCATTTTCCAAATAGTCTTACTGAAAATGGTGCTTATTTCTGTATTTTAAAAATTCCTGATATCCACGTCCTGATGAACTTGGTTTTTTTTTTCCCTCTGGGATTCATTATTTGCTTTTCTTCTTATTACGGAAAGTTACAGGAAAGCCAAAGTCTAATAGTAAAGAATAAGCCAAAGTCTAATAGTAAAGAATTGTCTGTCCTCTGTAACTCTGGAATTAAGAGTTGTCTAGTTTGGAAGCTGCCTTGTCACTAAAGGCATGTGAGCCCTGGCCCTTGAATGTTGAGCAGCTGAATGTCCTGTGAGCAGTTGCAGGAATTTCACTGGCTTACTGATTCCAGAGTGAATTGCAGTGATCCTCCATCAGGTTGAGTTACAAAAACAAGCAAATAATTCGTGAGGAGTGATAACAGAAAATGCAAACTGAAGCTGTGTATTTACTCCTGTTACAGGTGCAAAGCTTAATTAATAGCCAGAATAGTATTTTGACAAATACATGACTGAAGTTATGAGGAACAAAGAAGAGAAATGAAGCTTTTGTAAGAAATTTGTAAGCTTAAAATCTGGAGTAAAGGTAATAATGTAAGTGGCCTCATTTTTGAGCGAGTTGAAGAGAAATACTGAAGTTACTCTTGGATGTATTTTCTCTTTTAAGTGTTTGTTTAAGCTTTCATAGTGTCTCCCAGTCAATCTTGATGTTCTTCAGCCACTGAGGAAGGCACTGGAACAAGTATACCTATTACTTTATACTGAAAGTGTACAATAATAAGCATATATAATAAAAATAATAAGTACTAACCGAACTAAATTACAGTGCAACTAAATCATAACTCTAATTTAACTTTGAAAACTGCAAAGGTAAATAAGCCAGATAAGTTTAAGACAGTTAGAGAACCATTTACAATCAGGTGCACCTTCACTTGCTCAAACAGCCTGGATGAGTATGGGACTGGGTGGCAGGGGTTGTCCCTTTGCTGCTTTGCACCAGGAATGTGGATGAGTTGCTTGCCATGTGCAGCATTGCTGGAGAAGCTTGCAGTCATCATGCTTCCCAAGGACTGCCTGCTCTGAGCAGGGTGGACTGTGGGTTTGTTGCTTGGGGGGAAAAGTGTGATCGTATAACAAATCTTGTCTCAATGGACGAGGAGCTTAGACATCAATACTTCTAGTGGCTTTTGCATTAAGTGCCCCTAAATCAGTTATTGATGTTCTCATAAAAGTCCCTTGAAAATGAATTCAGCCATCGTAGGCTTTCAAGTATTTCTGTGGTATCATGGGAAAAATTGCTAACTAAGTAAAAGCTGCAAATTAAGAATTTTTGTCTAATGAAAAACTGCATCCCTGTGAGTGCATAGATGGCTTGTTAGGAACATCACTGGGGATGGCAGTTTAGGTTGCAGCGTCAGTTCTGCCACCTCTCCATTGTGAGGGTTCTTCCTCCTTCCCTCCCTCCCAGAGCCCTGTCGGGCTGCTGGGCTGGTTCCAGTCGCAGTCACATCAGCTGTAGATCCATCCCTGTGCTGTTACCTGATCACCTGGGACCTTCTACTTAGCCCAGCATGTCTTATCCACCCGGGGTGGGTGGGATGTGCACGTGATGGATGAAAGCCTGAATGTGTCTAATGGCTTTGGTCTCTGAGCACCTGGGCTAGGCTTCATGTGTGTAGGAGGCTGCAGTGAGTGACTCTTAAAGAAGCAGAAAGCTTTGATCAATCTGGGAGTGTCTAGTAAGAGATTATGACACTTGTAAGGCAGTCATTGGTCTGGTGTTTCCCTTGGGCAAGGTTTTATTTAGTAGTAGAGCTTACCCTAAGGGAGTGTCCCAGGTAATATTTTGTTTCTGGTTTCTAGCTTGAAGCTATTGTTGATTGTATAAAGGATTTCCTTGTGATTGCTGTGGATATAAAGAGTTTTTAAAATCATTTTTGGTGCCTTGAATGTCATGTATAAATCCAGTTAAAGCAGACACAGATACAACTCTGTGTTGATTTCTAATGAAGGTGGGAACATTGTTGGTGAAGGCTGTGGATAGAATTTCAGGCTTTAACATTGACTGGTAAAGACTAATGATTCTCTGTCTTTCCTAGGAGGAGCAGTGGGTGGATTGATTGGATGGATAACTTCTGGACAGTTCAAGTCAGTCCCTCAGATTTTAGTGGAATTGCCTGCTGCTGAGAAGCAGAAACTCTGTGCTGAAGCCATGGTTGTTGTCAAGAACATACACTGGACTGATGCTGCTCAGCTGATTGCTCTTGTAATGTCAAATTCTTCTCTCACGGACAAGCTGTTAGGAGTGCTGACCACTTACCTTACCAATGAGCTAAAAGCACAAATAAAATATGGAGAATAATCCTTTACACAGCAGGCTTTTTATGCTGGAATGAATTTTACTCCCATAGCTGTGAATCTTTAGCACAACAATTACTAGCTATCAATACTAATTATAGATATATGCTGATCTTAATAATTTTGGGGTATTCCGTTTTGGCATTTTTAAATTTTTATTATCTTTTTTGATTTGTGTGGATTTGTAAAGATAGTATTAAATCACTGCATTATCCTAACACTGACTTGCTATGTAATTTTGGATTGCCTGCCCTAGGACTAATTCAAATTGCTGAAGGGAGTCATGATGCTCTTAGGCTGATGTGTCACTTGTGAAAATTTTCAAAGTTTTGTTTAGGAGACTTGACTCTGTTTGTTTAAGTGCTTTAATTTTTTCCCCTGTGATTGACATGTAAGGTGCCAAAGTAGCTGGGGCACTTTGAAGAATTTTACCTGTTGTTTGTTTTCAGCCCTGGGAAGGAAAGTTTTATAAGGAAGTACATTACTGTGAACTCAAAGGACTCAATCCATACTTTGTCACATTTTTATTGTAATTTTTGAGTTTTCTTTTTATGTAAGAAGTGAAGCAAATACTTAAGATATCAAATATCAGGAAAATAAACTGTGAACATTTTCAATTTTCACTAGGTTCCTGTGCCCTAGAATGGGAGGGAGTGGCAAGCATTAAAAGAATGGGGAGCTGAATCAGTTTTTTATTAGCCCCAGGATTAAGGTTGTCATTTCAGCATTGTTTTCTTGACTTGAGTCTGTACAGCTGGTCCTCTGTTTTCATTAAAATATTCCTAAGAAGCCTCATAGTGATCTGTGTGTTGCTTTAAATTAAATGAACTCTTTAAGAACTCAGGCAGGCCTGTGGTGGGCAGCCAGCAGTTGGCAGCAGCAGCGCTGTGGGGTGGGGTGATGTGCCAGCTGCATTATTACTGGAAGTACCAAATGCTGTGGTGCTGAATGTCCCAGCCAGTTGTTCACATTTCAAGGCACTCCTAAGACAAGTTTGTAGGTAGAAAAATGTACAGGTGTGCCTTCTTTTTATGTAAAGGCAAGTGAAACTGTTTTGACAAGTTCATTTTTTAATGAAAAAATAAAATAAAGATCTCTCTCCATGTGTATGATGAGGTTTCTATAAGTTAAGGTTTAAATGGTAAAGCTTTAAACTCAGAAGCTGCTGTTGTATGCATTTGATTAATTTACTTCTGCAGGTACCATTTGCTTTTGATAAATACAGTGGAGTGCAGCACAGTGATTGTTCTCAGCATTTGATAACACTTTTTCATTGATGTGAAAAGGAGATGGAAATGAATGTTAAGTGGGCACTCCTTACCTTGTCAGAGTTTCATAATGCCAAACCTGAAATCAGTGGGGTTTCAGTTTCGTTTGCAGATTACACACACTGCAACTTTTAAAAGATTTTTTAAATGGTAGCCATTTTAAAATACTATTTTTATGAATCTAGTTGTTTTTATTTGCAATTTTCTGGTTATTTCACAGATTAAATTCAGTCTTTGTAAAACAACACACTGCTAGCAGTGGCAGATGATTGAATGATCCAGTGGGATGGAGTTGGCATCCTATGCTCAGCTGTTCAAACCCAGAATGATCAGAGCTGAAAATTGATTGTAAAGCAGGCATAGGAAAAATGGGGGTTCCAGTTCATCTGTAATAGTATTTAGTATTTAAACAGACCTTTACAAGTTTCAGTGGTTTCAAACATCAATATCATGACCCCCATTTTAGAGGTATTCATAAATTTGGGCCCAAACATAGGTAGTGAATTGATTTTTATCCCTTTTCAGTGTAATAGATGTGGATGCAATTCAGATCATTTTACTCTGATCTTCTGCTCTCCTGTGGTACTCTAATAGTATTCTTTGAAATGCTTTTTATTAAAACCATAGAAATTGTAAACCAATTAGAACTACACTCTTAGCCTTCACTGTGGTGTAATAGGGGCATGTGGCATATGGATGTCAGCAGAATTTGGGTCCAAGTAGTTCAGAGTTTACACACCAGTCCCAGCTTATGTCAAACCCCACTGCTGCTGAGCTCCTGAGAAGCTTTGTGCCACAGAGGAGCATGCTCAGTCATGACAATAAATTTAGCTTTCTATAGGTTTTCAGATGTAGAACCAGAAGAAAGGAATTGAATTCTTCTTTTAACAGGTTTGATGCTCTTGGAGCTCCCTGGAAGGTGGCAGGTACCTGTTTTCAAAGTGGTAGCAGTAGGTTTGAGGACTGGTCTGAAACACATTTCACTGCTGGCAATGGAAGAACAGAAATGAGCTCAAGTGCTCATCTCATCTGAGTTTGGACATAAGAGAATTAGGAAATAACCACTCCTGATCAGGACCACCAGTCCTGATGACTTCCTGTGGTCATTAGGAAATGACCACAACCTGATATTTACTGAGGGAAAACGAGCATGGCAACCACAAGATGTTTGTGTTTCAGTGGTTTGTGACAGTTTATATTGCTGGATGCTGCAGGAAGAGAAATTTGTACCTTTAGTGCTCTGACTGCAGCCCCATGCTGTCATATCGAGGTCACCATGATATTTGGTCTGTAGCCTTAAGTGGGAATTTGGGTGAGTTAAAAACACCCTTCAGCAGATTTGATCATCCAAGGGAGAAGAGCAGCTGCACCAGGGTGTTTTAATATCCATCTGTTGCTGTTCTTTGGTAGAGACATGGCTGTCCACCACTGCATCCCTTGTTGGTGTTGGAAATAGCCACAGGCGAGGGATGGCATCTTCTGAAATCCATTCCAGCTGCATAATGTCCAGGCTGAGTGTGAGGCACTGCCATTGCCTAGGAAACGAGGTAGGACAGTGCCAGCAGTTTTGGGAAGCAGCTGAAAGAGTCACTATGGGGAGATGTACATGTTTATATAAAGAAACCATCTGTGATGCTGGTTATTAACCTGGTTTGGTTGTAGATGTGACAGAATCAAGCTAGGTTCCCTGGCAGATGGTGTATTTTTAGTTAAAAAGTCTCTTTTTTTATTTGGGTTTTTTTTTAAGCTTTCTGATTTCAAAAATAGAAAGCAACATGAATTGTTCTGTTAGCAAGGACAGGGAATATACATGCTTTTTTAAAATGCAGTCTTGAATTCAGATACAGATTAGTAATTGAGATGTGCCATCTAGTGGCAATTAAATTAATTCTTAAACTCAGCCTCTCAAAGCTGCCTCAGTATCCGGATAACACTGTTAGTTACCTTTTTCTATGAAGAGTAAGGCTGCATTCTTTTTCTGCTCTTACTCTGTCAAATTTCTAGCTTTAGTGGATTTGTATTAGACTAAAAATATCAGCCCAGCTACAGACTAGACTAGAATTTATATGCATTCCCTGCAAGTTGGCTCTTTGGTGATTATCATATGTGAGCTGTGACAGCACAAATATTTACTGCAGCTGCATGTCACATTTAATTATAGTGAGAAAATACAGATTCAGGCAGAGGAGGGCAGTTTACTTCTTGATTACTGAAGGACTGGATTTTGTGAGCTGAGCAGCAGGCAGTTTGCAAAGGCAGATTGTCCACAGTGGGATTGGCAAGGCAGTGAGGAGTTTGTTACCTGGAGGGCTGCGTTTCTTTGTGCCCCACAAAGGACGTGGCTCTTGGCTCAGCCTATTCACGTCGTATTTGTCACATCACCTCTCACCTCTTAGGCAGTATGAAAAGTAGCAGGGGTTAGCATTCCATGGGCAGCTTTTCCAAGGACAGCCTCCGTCTTTGCCGGGCTGCATACCCGCACCTGCAGAGGGCTTTGCTGGGCAGAACATTCCCAAAGGAGACAATTTCCTCTCTCCGGGAGGCTCCGAAGGAGCAGGAGGAGGTGCTGTGCAGCCATCTGTGCAGGCACACACACGTGTCCTTATCCTTCCCTGGTTACAGCTGCTGTGCCCTGGCAGCACTCTTGCCCTTCTCACAGGTCACAATTTACAGCTCCTGCCATAAGTGCCCCAGCAGGTGGGGTGGAATGAGTGCCATCACCTGCTCCCACTAACATCACCTCTTCAGGAGGAAACCCTGTGCTCCAGAGGGCTGCTGGGCCACGGTAGCTGCTCTTTTGAGGCACAATTCTGTTTAGCACACATGGCATAAAGCTATTGTGTGTGTCCACATTTCTTTCAGATGACATCCCTCTGATAATGACAACTCAGAGGAGATGAGCATGCCTTTTCTCACTTTGGCTGGTTTGTGGGAAATTAGGGCTACAAAACTCCCTAAAAGATATTTGGAAGGGGATTGTAATATTCAAAGTCATTAAGCAAATTGATTTTACAGAGCCATACTCTCTTGGCATACCTGCTCAGAGCGTCTGGCCAGGTTTGTTTGTGCACAACGTGAAGGACAAGTCAAATCCTCTTCATCTCTTGATTCTTCTTGATTGTCAATGATCAGTTAACTTTTTGGACAAATATTTTCTTTCCTTTAGGATATCTTTCATGTCCTACTGCTGCTGCCTTCCTGTGGGCCCCTTGGCCTGTTGAGCTGACAGGAGGGCTGGTGCACTGTCCTGCTGTCAGTGCAGGGTCTTGCTCAGGAGCTGCCTGTGCTGTGTTCTCACCAGTGGGCCTTCTGGGCTGGACAGCAGGAGTGAATCCTCTATTTAATGGAATTGCATCCCTCACTATCCATAGAGCCTCTCTGTTAATTGTTCTGGTGCTTTCACATACACACACTTACAATCTCTTATTCCAAAATTAATATTCCTGTTAAAAACTATGCAGATTCACATGGAGATGAAATGTTCCCATTTTTTTGCTCGCAGAGTTGCAGCAGCTCCAGCAGGGCTCCCTGGTGGAGCAGGGGCAGGCTCAGGGGTTTGATCCTGTGTAGCTGCAGTGGTAGGACCTGCTGAGCTCAGTCTCCATCAGCAGTTTGGCAGCACTGGTGAAGCCAGAGGATGTGAAAGCAATGCGTTTTTCCACCACCTAAAAGCTCTTACAGAGAAAGCAATAGCTTAGGCTGTCACTGCTTGATCAGCTGATGTATAACTCCAGACTAATTGAGTAGCAGCCTTTCAGCTGGGTTGGAAAGCTTTTAAAAAACCAAAGGCCTTTGCATTGAAGTGAACTAAAGCTATTAGCCCCTAATTAAAACACGAGGTTTCATCTTTACCTTTCTAGAGATCACAGAAATCTATGTATTTTTCAGGCTGTAAGCCAGAAATCAAACATTCATCATGTAATTGCAGTAAGTGTGGGCTAATACTTCTCATTAAGTGTGATTTATGAATTCCAGAAGAGCCTACGAGGTAAATATATAAAATTATTCTGAAGTCTGCAAAAATGAAGGTATTCATTTCTTTGGATGACTGTTCAGCAGGAAGAATTTAACGTGAACATGACAGCTTTACACATTCAGTACAGACACTGCATTTGGACACCTGAACATTTGCACTTCCCTCCGAGTCACTGCTGATCTTTCACTCGAGCTCACCCTTCAGCTGTCAGCTGGGAAAGCAGCATGGCTTTAAGGTAAGCCCATTCTGCTGGGCCTCAGAAGATTTATCACCTCCTCTGCTTGTTTGCTGGGTGACCTTGAGTAACTTCCCATCTAGATCCTGAATGTGCTTTTTGTTAAACACTTTGTAATCTATCAGTAGGAAATGATGTGTTACAGAAATGTGATAGCACTGTTCTGTAGCTAACCAATCTCTGATCCTGCAGTCAGGACATGAGCATCAAAGAAGGAATGTAATAAATGTTAATAGAGGTTCACAGCAATCAGGACAAAGAAGAAACTGCTAAGTTTTGAAATGTAGCTACTTTTTTAGTGGCAGATTTACACTGA